GGCTGGCGGGGGAGCCCTGGTTACTCCTGCACCTCCTTTCCTTTTCAATGTGCCGCCGTGTCCCTCGGGCCGGGCCTTCTCCGGGGGCTCCTGCAGGAAAGCAGGGCTCTGTGCGTCCTTGCGGCCGCCTCGCCGGGGAGAGGAGCCCTTCTCTCTGCATCCCGGACCTTTGAGTTTCCCTCCAGGCGAACGCACTGCTGGCTGCAGGTTCCGGGCGGTAGTCAGGGTCTGGCAGGACTTCGATTGGTTCTGGTGCTGGCGGTGCCGGGCCTTCTAAAGCCCGCGAGTTTGCATAGCTCCCTGCATGTCAGGGGCATGCGGTACGGGGAGGAGCCACAGGCCAGGGAATGAGGGAGCGGAGGGCAATGAAGTGCAGCGACTCTGACGGGTGCTGGGAGACGCCTGCTGAGGCCTCCACCCCCAGGTCGCGTTACCCTTCGCAGCGCCCCCTCTTTCCGGTTCCTCAGGAGGACTGGACTCCCCGAAGGCCTCCCCCTGCTCAGCTCCTCTGCTCCTGCCTCTTCATCTGGTCCGCTACAGGTAGTCATCCCTGGAAAAGGCAGAAGCTTGCAACACCCAAAGTGACGTCTCCATGGAGCTTTAGCAGAGCATTATTTTTGCTGTGAGAGTCACTTGCAGATTATTCGGAATGAAGCTGGAGTTGGAAGGAGAGCCGCAGCCGAAGGCCCAGGGCCTGTACTGCGCGGGGCAGCCCTTCCCGCCTCCAGAGAGAGGCGCTCCCTGCCCCGGCCAGCACTGGGCTTCTACCAATCAATTCACATCGTAGACCTTTCTAATTCATCTTAGGACAGCCCAGCAGACGGCTCAGTGGTTGAGCATCGACCTATGAACCAGGAGGTCACGGTTCAATTCCTGGTCAGGGCACACGCCCCGATTACGGGCTTGATTCCCAGGGGGAGGCGTGCAGGAGGCAGGGGATCAACTATTCTCTCTCGTCCTTGATGTTTCTATCTCTCTCTCTCCCTCTCCCTTCCTCTCTGAAATCAATAAAAACTATTTTTGTTACATTAAATTAGAGCATACAATTTAGAATAACAATAATGATTTGTAAATAAAATCAGGAAGTCCAACTGGAAATGCTAAGAGCCCTCTGGACATGCACAAACAGCAGCCGCCACCTCCCCCGAGATGTAGGTCCATCTTGTTAGTGACATAAAGGGGCCAGGTCTGCCGGTTCCAGCAGCTGTATATAGTTTAACTCTTTTTAATCACTTGAAGTGGAGTTTATTATTTACCTTCCATGAACCTTTGACAAGTTGGGTGAACTTTTAAAAAAAATATTTTTATTGATTTCAGAGAGGAAGGGAGAGGGAGAGAGATAGAAACATCAATGATGTGAGAGAATCATAGATTGGCTGCCTCCTGCACGCTCCACACTGAGGATCCAGCACAACCGGGGCATGTGCCCTGACTGGGAATTGAACCATGACCTCCAGGTTCATAGGTCGACACTCAACCACTGAACCACACTGGCCAGGCTTGCTTTCCCCCTTGCCAAGCTCCCCTGACTTCCGGAACCAGCCGGCTGAGCACAGGTGCTGGCCTGAGAGCAGGAGTGCGTCGTCTGCACTAATCCACCTAAAACAAGAAAACCAGGCTCAGATCCAAATCGTTACCCACATTGAAGAACTAGCTGCAGGGTCAGTAACCCACTCTCGCAGAGAAACGCTCATCACAATAGAAAAAGAGAAACTGACAGGAATCCAGGCCACAGCCAAGTCCTGGCCGTTTTAGAAAATGGCTCATGATTTAAGTCTCCATTGAGCTCTACTTAGATTTTTCTTCTGTTTTTGTTTTTCTTGTTCATCCGTCAGATCCTTTAGGCAACAGTAGCCCAGCAACTGAATGTATTTTGTTATAAAGTTGCAACATGCACAGAAAATCTAGCATGGAAACCACATTAATGAAACACTATCATGACCAAAACTCACACTGAATCCTGTGACCTGTGTGGCCAGCGGCTTCAGGGCTGCTCCCCTCACACTTCAGGATGTGGGAGGCCTTTTATTAAAAACTAGAGGCCTGGTGCACAAATTCTTGCATCAGTGGGGTCCCTGGGCCTGACCTGTGGGATCGGGCCCAAACCGGCTCTCCCACATCCCCTGAGGGGTCCCGGATTGTGAGAGGGTGCAGGCCAGATGGAGGGACCCCACTGGTGCACGATCGGGGCCAGGGAGAGATACGGGAGGTTGGCCAGCCGGGGAGGGACTGTGGGAGGGGTCAGTCCCCATCAGGGAACCCAGCAGCAAGCTAACCTACCGGTCAGATCATCTTCCCCCAGGTGGTCAGTGCATGTCATAGCAAGCGGTTGAGCAGCCTTAGCATATCATTAGCATATTACGTTTTGATTGGTTGAACGGACGACCAGACACTTAGCATATTAGGCTTTTATTATACAGGATCCCTTCTTTCCCTTTGGGAAAAGGTCATTGTTAACTGAATTGTATAAAAGTTCTTCGGCCCCACCTTCCCCGGTGAAAGGCCCTCCTTTCTCTTTGGGAGTAGAGCCTGGGCATTGCCTTCTGTGAATATTTAAGATTATCTTCAGGGAAAGGGGGAACAGTGACCAGCACCCCATGCCTGAGCCACAGTTGGAGACAAACCACTTTCTGGTTTAGGCAAGAGCCTGATTTATCACTTGAGATGCCAAGGAGTACGTTGTCAATTGTCACGTGGAATACCCCACACGCTGATGCACTGAGTTCATCGGGACATTCCTGAACACGACTGACAAGAGACATCAAACAACACGTGGCTAGTCCTGTGAATGGTCATAGCTAGAGCTTGCTTATCTGTAAAAATCACAATGTGTGTTGTGTTTCATGGGATAAAAAGAACGTTCCAAACACGGTGTGTGGGTTAGCGCTCACACCGTCAGGAGAGCATGGCTGCCCGTTGCTACCGATGAGCGGAGTCACCCCAGACGGGCCAGCGGGGAAGAGGGTCTCATCTCATCCTGACCCCAAACTGTGGCTTGTTCTGCGCCCCCCCTTCCAGCTTTTCAGAGTGTGTCCTCCTCTCATTTCCAGTTCTGAGGCACTGACAGACACCTGTGATCCGGAAGCTGTGTCCAGTCCCCTGCTGCGGGCCCGCGCCAGGGGAGGGGGAAGGGGCGCTCGCTCTGCCTTCTCCACACGAAGGCCTCACCCCTCCCCCAGCCCAATTCACACATCTGGCACAGGGGAGCTGGAGGGCGTCCTCACATGCACCATTTAACCTGTTTATCTCTAAAAAGCACATCCGATGAAGTGTGCCCTCAGCCATGTGTAAGTGTGCAGTAGCGTTCCCTGGACTCCCGTCGTGGGCAACAGATCTCATGCCCTTCTCATGGCCCCGGAACCCGCACCTCACGCCCCCGGTGCTGGCGCCCACCTCTCAGGCATCTCACACACGTGAAGCACAGGACTTGGTCCTTGTGTGACCGGCCTGCCTCACTCAGCATCATGTCCTCAGCCACCCGTGCTGCAGCCTGGCACGGGCGTCCTTCCACCTCAGGACGCACCACCACACTCCTTACGTGTTCCTGTGCCAGTGGACATGGCTGCCCTCCTCGTGGCTGCTGTGAGCGAGGCTGAGGTTCCGTGTCTCTTTGAGATCCTGCTGTAAGTGCTTTGGGGTAAATGCCCAGAAGGGGCACTGCTGGGTTGTCGGTTCCAGTTTAATTTTTTGAGGAGCTCCAGACCACTCTCCATAGCGGCTGCACCAACGTACACGCCCCCAACAGTGCCCGAGGTCAGTTTTTTCACATCCTCACCAGGCCTTGCTGTTTTCTTTTCTGGATAGTGACTTACTTTGCATTTCTCTAATGACTAGAGAGCCTTTAAAAATTATTTAAAACCCTTTATTTTCACAGTTGAGCCTATATTGTGCTAAGCACTGTGTTACATACTTTGCATGCAATAGGGGGGAAAGCTTCAGAAACCTAGCAAGGGGCAAAACTGGATAAAATAAGAACCTCGCCCCCAGGGTAACCTACCCCCCCATTAGCCTTCCTGGAGAAAAAAATAGCCCCTCTTGAGTATCAGCGGAATGACTAATCTATATATATAACAGGCTAAGCAACCAGCGGACTGTCTGGTAGGTATGACGTGCAGTGACTTGGGAGCGGCAGTTCTTGGGTGATGCACCCCCAGAACTAGAGAGGAGGGAGCCTGATTCCGGGGGTGTGTCACCTGAGAACTGCCCTCTCGAAATCTGGGACCCCTCAGGGGATGTCGGAGAGCCATTTGGGCCTGATCCCTGCAGGCCAGAACACTGACTGCACCCATGCCATTTGAGCCAAGGTGCTGCCCCACGTGCAGCCAGCGGGGAGGGGGGGGGGCGGGGGTGCGCTCGGGAGGTTGGCTCCAGGGTGTGTCCAGCCCATCTCACCCAGTCCAACCCCGCTGGCCACCTTCTAATTAATTTCCTTTTAATGTGCATGAATCCATGCACCGAGACTCTAATAGATTATATACTCCGGCTTCCGCATTCCTGCAGATTGTTAGTGACAACACTCCCCCACCTGGCACAGACTATCCCATCAGAACAGTGCAAGATATGTTCCGATTCATTACAGACCTCTGGCTCCAGGGCAATTCACAGGATTTCTCTCTAGATCACATCTATCAGTCATAGTGCTTCCAAACCTCGAAGATCTCTCATATTCCTAAAGTGGTCCCCCTACTCGCCCTAGACCAGTGGTTCTCAACCTTCCTCATGTCGCGACGCTTTAATACAGTTTCTCATGGTGTGGTGACCCCCAATTTCATTGTTACAAATTGAACATAATTAAAGCATAGTGATTAATCACAAAAACAATATGTAATTATATATGTTTTCTGATGGTCTTAGGCGACCCCTGTGAAAGGGTCGTTCGACCCCCAAAGGGGTCGCGACCCACAGGTTGAGAACCGCTGCCCTAGACTATCTTTTAGCCAAAGGGGGAGGGGCTTGTCTAATTGCTAATGCCTCCTGTTGTTTTTATCTAAACTCTACAGGTCAAATAGAGGAAAGAACACAACACATTCTACTGAATACGCAGTGGCTCAAGGAGATCAGTCAGGACAGCATAGAGCAGTCCATACGGTCCAGCTTACAGGTATCTCTGCCCAAATTAACCTGGCTTTTTCCCCTTTGGGCTCCCTGACACTATTTGTCCTCCTCCTCCTCCTTGGGCCCTGCATTTTAAAATTAGTTACCAAAGTTATACAAACAAGATTACAGTCCTGGTTAAGACAGTAGGACAGTTTGTCCTTACCCAGGTAAAGGGACCCTTCAGGCTTGTATCCCAGGAAATAATCTGAATTTGCTCCTTAGGTATCCACGACAGCCCCTCCCATGCAAGAAGCAGACAAAGAAAAACGGCGGCCCCATCCCCCTTCTTTTCTTTTATATATGTATACCCTTCAAGACGGGAATGAAAGGGTTAAAGAGACTAAACTGGGCAGAGAAAACTGACTGTGCTTAGTGGATATCTTGCAGAACGCTTGCCTTGAGCTCAGCACAGCCTAGATAACCACGAGCCATCTGGCACCGGGAGGGCCTAGGATGGACCGGCCCGCACATCAGCAGAACTGCTTGCAGCCAGCAGAGTTCATAAAAGTCCGCCTCCCCTTCCGTCTCCACTGATTCCTTTTTTGGACTCAGCCCACCTGCACCCAGGTGCCTGACATAAAAGCTTCTTTCGATACATATGGCTTCACATCATAGGCGCGACCCCAGCCCCCTCCGACCCTTTCAGTGTGTACCTTCACCCGCCTTGCGAACACTCGCTGCAGCAGGTGCGGCCAGGCCTCGGGGGCTGGGGTGCGTGTCTGGAACAGAGCGGGTTCTTTGTGTGGAGCTGTGTATTGTTGGAGGGAGCAGGTGATACCCACTAACATTTCTGGTTGAATAAAGACTATGAAGACAGTTAGGGAGAAGGGAGCAAGATGGGGACTGGGGGGGGGTGAGGAGGGGGCTAATGGAGACTCCTTGGAGCCTTTGGCCAGGCCCTGAACGCTGAGGACTGAGCCGCACAGGGCAGGACTGAGCCGCACAGGGCACAAAAGCAGGCGCGGGCAGGCGCGGGCCTGTAAACCAGATGGCGGTCAGAGGCTGTGGCAGTAGACAAGCGGAGGAGCCATGCTGTCACCTGGCTGCGGGTCAGGCTAGGGAATTTCCACTGTGTTTTGTTTGCGAGGGGAACTGCCCTGTGAGGCCATTGAGTAGGAGAGTGAGCTGAGAGCTTTGCTTCCTTAGAGGCTGTGGCTGTGGGGGTGGGGGT